GGCCGTAATGGCCGTAATGGCCGTAATGGCCGTAATGGCCGTAATGGATGTAATGGACGTAATGGCCGTAATGGACATGATCGCTGTAGTGCGCCTGATGGACGCATTATGCAACACGCGGACCAACAGCGATTAAGTGTGACACCTTCGCGGCACCCACATCGAGAGAGATGTAGTGTGACTCCCTTCGCGGCACCCAATGTTTATGATGCCGATTATATCCATTACGTCCATTACGCCCATTATGACCATTATGTCCATTAGGGAAACGGAATACAGTTTCCGAAAATTGATTTGGCGTTCATAAACCCATTGAGTTTCCTGGAAACTAATAGAACGCATCATATGTATCTGATTTACTTCTGAATTGTACAGACTGGAAGTAAAATACCATCATTATTCTGATATTGTGGAAAAGGACACTAAACATCTATATCGACCGTTTAACACAAGTTCGATTCTCTTACTTCCTTCCATCAGCAATAGTATGAGCCGTCTTTTATAGAATAGGGCAGTAAATTACTCATTTCTGTTGTTGACTCATTATTTCCAATCGCGGGCGAAGATTACTCACCAATTCCGCTTGAAATGGCTTTTTCCAATTCCATTTGTGTATTCACACATCCTCCAAATGTCGCAACGAAAGGAAGTATGCTTTTTCGATGATGATTTTTCTTTTCTCTGCTTCGCTATCGACACTCTTATTCAAGTAGTTTGTTTGTTTTCCTTGCACATGTATGACATCATGACGAAGTTTACTTATTGCTGATAAATGTCTTTTTTTTCTCCTGTTACTTTTATTTTTTGTTCGGCTTTTTCCTTCTTGATTTGTCATGCAAAGATTTAAATACAGCAGCATGCAATTATACAGTCTTCACTTTTTCTTGCTACAGAAACGATGACGAGTGTTGATGAACTTGAAAAGCGAATCAATAGTACAATGGCCGAAGATGATCTGAAGATTCTGCACGCACTTCAGAATGAAATAATTCGTTCCGAAAATGACAATCGCGAAGCAGAACGTGATCTTGCCAAGATTGATCAACGATTTGATGAACTGCGTAATGAACAACGTAAATTGGAACATGATATCTCTCAACTCACTGGTCAAATGACTCAGATGAACGAAGCAATGACTCGAGCCAATGAAGAACTACATGGCTTGCGTGAACAAGAACAGAAACTTATTGCTGACCGCAATAAACTTGAACGTGTACTTGATGCCGAAAAGAAGGCTCTCGAAGCGGCCAAAAATAAAGTGACAGAAGTAAAAGCTCGAATCCATCGCTTAGAACAGGATAAGACGCAGCTTGAACAACGTCGTCATGATCTTCTCGAAGCTCTACGCACATGTGAAGCAAACAAACGGGAAATAGAACAACAGATAACGGCTATAGAAGGTCGACTTCGACAATTGGAACAAGAACTAGAACGACTAAGTGATGAACTTCATCAACTTGAACGAGTGATTACTCAACTCAAAGAAGATATTCAGCGTACGAACGATGAAATGACACATCTTGATCGAGAAATAGCTAAATTAAAAGAACGCTTACAAGAACTTGAAAAAGAAAAAATAACAATCGAAGCAGAAATACGTCGTATCGAAGAGAAAAAGCTTAGCATTAAAAAGATCATCGATTTGAAACAAGGTAAAGTTGAAGAATTGAATGCATTTAGAGACCGAAGGAAATCAGAGGAGGAAACAGCCAAGAAAGAGCAAGCAGAAGCAGAAAGTGATCTGGCAGAAGTGGAGAAAGAAATCACCAAGCTCAAGGAAAATATAGAAGGTCTCCGAGAAATCGTCGAAAAATTGAGAAAAGAAGTACTTGAATTGGAAGAAAAAGTTCGACTGGCAAAAAACAACGTCGAAACTACTCGGTATGTGAAGAAAACCTTTTTTTGAATTAGATGTGCCTTTTGAAAGTGTCTCCGTCGAATTTTCAAAGACATTCCGATGACATTTAAAGGAGTACAAAAATGAATTTTTTGCCTAAACCTTTTAAAATGCGAAGTTTGTATTTAAAAAAAAGGAGAAATTTTCTTCCATTGCACATACATAAGCGAAGACATAGAGCAACTCTTATTAATCTCTAAAAAAGTATTCGTCAAAAATTGCAAGCGAACACAACTAATGCATTTAACGACAGGTACAAAACCAAAAAACAATTGTTTGTCATTCATCTATTATTTTGTAACAAATAACAATCTTTTTTCACTCAACTATATATTTGAATTATTTGTTTAAAATGAATTTTCATCATTACAGGGAAACAGCAAAAATAGCAGAAACCGAGGTAACTCGACTTGAAAACGAAGAGACAAAAGTCGTGAGAGATCTAAAGACAAAAACAGATGAACTCGATCAAGCTAACCAGCTCAAATCTCGTCTAGACGATGATCTTCGATCAAAACAGAATGAAATCGATAAAATCAAACAGCAAGTTAATGATTTGAGCGGAGAGTTACAAAAAGCAAACGACCAACTTGAACAAGCTACCCAGCAACTCGGTCAATTCAAAGAAACCCTTGAGCGAGAGAAACAAAATGAAAATCAAATGCACAAGGCATTCGACGATCAACAGAGAAAGGTTGATGATGCAAAGACAATGCTTGATCAACGAACCGATGAGGAAAGTCGAGCGCAACGTGAATATGATGAAGCCTTGCGAGCTGAACAGGATGTAGCAGATAATTTGAGACGTGACCAAGATGAGTTACAAATAAAAGAAGCCGCTCTACGAATAGCTCAAGCAGCGTTGACTGCTATCGGGATTGCAACATTGGGTTTTGGCTTAGCAGCAGCAGCAGCCGCTGTGGCGATGTGCGAAGCGGCACTTAAAGCTTGTCAAGCACAGGTAGATGGAACTCGACGCCAACTAGAACAGCAAAAGCAAGCACGCGAACAAAAACATGAAATACATCAACAAGCTGTTCGTAACAAAACGGAGGCACAAAACATTTTGCAACAGGAGTCAACATTATTGGAGACGCGACGAACCGAGTGGCAACAACAGAAACACACTAGAGAAGAGGCTGAACGGAAAGTAACGGAACAGATAGGGGTCAAGGATAAAGCAACAAACATGCACGATGATCTCAAACGCCGTCTAGATGATGCAAAAAATGTTCAATCAACCAAGGAAGGTGAATTCAAAGATGTTGAAACAAAAGTACAGAGTCAAACAGAACAAATCAAATTGTTAGCCGATCAGCAGAAAACGATACAAGACCAGCAGACGGAAAATCAAACAAAAGTGGCATTGGCCAGGCGAGAAAAGCAAACTGCTGACAGTCAGCATCAGCAAGCGGTCAATGAGGAACAAACAGCACTCAATACGCTCGTCGAAAAAAAAAATCTTCAAGAAACAAAAAATGGAGAACTTCAACAAGCAGAAAACACATTGGAAGCTAAAAATACCGAATTACTCGACAAACAACGTGCTGCCCTTGAAGCGAAAAATAGAGTAGTCGCAATTGAAGATGATCTTAAGATGTTAGGCATGACTGTTGCTGAATTGCAACAAGAAATGAATCAGCAAGAGCTTCTGTTGAACGACGAAAGAAGAAAGTTGGAGGCGTATGGTGATAAAAAGCGCAACGTAGAACGAGAAATGAATATTGCTCGAACGAACAGACAACGAATTGAAGAGCAGCATAATGGTTTTAAACGGGAATTGAATACTAAAAATCAAGCAATGCAGGCTCAGAATACTAAAGTTATGAACAGTGAAGCTCAAGTTAAAATTGCACGAGAAGCAACAAATAGCAATGAGAACAGTCATCGACAACGACAAACAGACTTGGCTAGAGTACGTGGACAAATTACACAAAACGATCAAGATTTGCGAGAAAATGGAAATACAATTCGAATGTTGACTGAAACATTGAGAAGACATGAGACTGATCTTCAGGTTAGTTAATAAGTCTTTATTCGTAGTTCATTTGTATCTGTGCTGCTCCAACTTTGTCTTTTATTAGTCTATCGAGATGTAGTATAAGAACATTATTTTTTCCGGTTTTAGAACGATACACTTTTGACATTTCAGAAATTTCGCGTGTAGTTGATTTCAAAAATAATACTTCTATGGATGATTCGAGCGAAAAAGCTAGCAGTGTTTAGTCAAACAACTCAGTTCGGTTTAAACAGAATATTTAAACATGTATGTTTGTACTGTTGAATATATGATAGAAACGACTTATATATCATTTTATAATGGGTGAAGAATAAAAGAGCTTTTTTCTATCATGCAAAAAAACCTATTGAAGTCTGCTTGTTGATCGGAGCTAATGTTCATTTTATACTATGTAGCACGAAAACCTTCTTGATAATCATATTGTGATTTTCAAAAATAATTAAATTAACGGAATACTTCGAAAAGTTTCTCCTCGTTACAGAAACAGGAACGTCAAATACAAGAAGGCCAACAAAATCTTAATAGACTCGACCATCAGCGCGACCAATTAACAAATAAAATTCGGGAAAGACAACAAGCGGCTGATAAACAGCGTGACGAGCATAAACGTCTCTCGCAAGAGGTCGATAAACAAAAAGCACATAAAGAACGTATTGACAACGAAGCTCAAACATTACACAATAAACGAATAGACAAAGCTTTTGCGGCCTCAGCAGCAGCGCGGTCAGCAGCTCATCAACAACTCAACATTTCTAATATGAAAGAGCGTCATCTTACCACAAACAGAGAACCAAACGTTTCACGGTCGAAGTATCATGACACCCGATTGAATCCCAATCTGCAATACCAAAAACGTTCATAATGCCATAGTGTGTTTATACTTATTGATTCAGAAAAATAAATTAATTTGAATTATATTATGAGCACCTGAATAGCGCTTGATTATTTTCTTAAGAAAGTGTACCTAGTTCTCGACTGAAAATGTCTTAGTATCAGGACTGGCCCGATCGGTGGGATCAGGGTGTGATCCCTCTCAATCTGAGAAAATTTTCGTTTGTCTGCAGCGGAAACGGACGATGTCGGTCATCTTTTTGCTCACCATTGCCCGGGAAAACGGGTGACTTCTCCTAAAATAGTTGATCCTACCTCCTGAGTGGTCGACCCATCTCTCCTTCCAATTCTGCTGACCTTGAGCCAGCTCTGCTTAGTATAATTGGCTTTTTATTTCAGAAGTTGCTTGATCTGCAGCTGGTTTCGTATATTAGTTTTGTCATTCAAATACTTATCCAAAAATTATATATTAGATATGTGATTGACTTGAGGCGAGATGAAGCTTACGAGGGAACTTCGCCAACTGATTCCTCTATTTGAGCTCATATTTTGCTCATGGGTAGAGCTCATAGCGCAGATAAAAACTCTAAACTGGTTCGTGCCATTAGGCCTTTCTTCTTGAGTTATGGTCATTTTACTGAATTTCCAGCCTATCACAGGGTATTATGAAAAGAGTTGCAACAAGAAATTTCTGCCTGAAAATTTTCCCAATAACAGACCTCATGGTCCTTATTATATCCTGAAAGTTTCGACTCAAACAGATGCTTTTTTCCGAGATAATACGTTTGCAAAAGTCAGTACTTTCTCATAAAAGCTCCAAAAATAGTTCATTTTTGAGTTATCCAATATCTTAAGAAATACTCATCCGTTTGAGCCGAAAATTTCAGGATACAATAAGAACCATGAGATCTGTTATTAGGGAAATTTTCAGACAAAAATTTATTGTTGCGGTATTTTACATGATACCCTGTGATAGGCTGAAAATTCAGTTGGGTGAGTGTGAGTGTGGGTATGGATGTGGGTGTTGGTGTTGGTGAAGTGTGGGTGTAGGTATGGGTGTAGGTGTAGGTGAGAGTGCAGATGTGGGTATGAATGTGGGTTTGAGTGTGGGGTGTGGATGTGGGTGTGAGTGTGGGGTGTGGATGTGG